AAGATCGAATTAGGTAAAATACCTTTTCTAAAGTTCTCTTCCAGGATTACTTTGGCCTAATGCGTTGTGGGTTTGGTCCGTATAATCCATCAAATTCGAACGGTTCCAAAATTTGTGTAACAGAATGGTAGGTTGGTCTCGGGTGTGTACTCATTCCTTGTATTCCATTCACAGGATATTGGTGTGATGCACCGATATAGGCTCTGTCCTACCAGCAGTGCTCGCAACTCCATTCACATGACTCCACAGGACCACCGCAAGACGTCTTCTCCGGTGAGCGCGACACCACCCATATCCTCGCGTCATCCTATTGCACCAAGTCCTGGTCGACCCGTTTCCCACCGCCGACGCAACTCGCAGCCCACGCACTCTGCCCCACCCGTTGCCTGCCCGGCCTCACTGCAGCAGCAGTCGTTAAACCGATGCACAGTAGACAATTCGCTCTCAGTGACAGCAAACCAGCGGGTTACGGAATGGCTCCGCTCGGCAGGATCACTGCCCGAGGAGACAGAGGATGAGGTAATACATTTTTAGCATTCAGACATTATTCTTAAGTTGGAAATCTGCCTGAATTGTCGTCAGGAAAGGACTTGGGAGTTCTGCTGCTCCGAGTGCGCCAGGATTCTTCATTGGTTCAGTTTTTCAGTGAATCGGAACATCAGAGTTGATACGGCTTTTCTCAAGACTTTAATTTAAATTTCGAAATTCGGTCACTGTGACACGAAGCAAAATCAAATACATGACCAAACCATATTGTTTTAATCTAATTTTAGTAGACCGATTTCGAACGTGAAAATTGTAATTTTTAATTTTAAAACTTGCATATCAATCACTTTTCCGCCACCTTTTCATATGTTTTGCAATTACTGTAGCTTAATTCCATATTATCAACCTTCATTTGTGTCATTTGTTGGCGGAAGTACTTTGCTGTGAATTTTAAACGGATTTGAAGCATGATTTCCTCCTAATTCAAAGGTGTATTTCTTGGCCCTACTTAGTGCTATCTGTAAACTTCCCTTGTTGCCCTCTTGCGCTATTCATGGTCCAAGGCCGTAGTATTAATTTTTGTGAAGGAATGGCTTGTCATCTTGTCATTGGTAGCTTTTATTGCTTATGCTGCTTATTGCTTATGCTTGCTTATGTATGCAAAGTACGGTTGATCTTTAAGCTCTGTGGGTGCTATTTTTTTCCCATAATTTTAGACTTTTTCTTCGTCGGTCTCTACACAAACGCCTCAAGCACGTTGGAACACGACTCGTGGTGTCCCAACCACAACTTTCCAGCCCTACCCACCCTCTACAACTCGCCGTACCTTCTCTATCCAGCAAGTGTCTCCCTCCATCAACACCCCCTATGATCGTCGTATGGTTCCCATGGTTCCACCCCCTCCACCTCCTCCTCCACTGCACGGCCGTATGTCTGTGGATACCAATGCCACCATTGTTACACCACAGGAAAGTGCCTTTGCAAACCTCCTCTATGACATGTCATGTAATGTTGTGACTCCACAACACTCACAACAAAATCCATCCACGATGGCTGTGAACAATGAGATGGCTGCATTGGCGCTCACGCCACGTGCGATGCCTCGAACGAATCCGCACGCGGTGGTAACAGCCGGCACGATGCCACGTCTGTCCTCTGGTAAACCGCACTTGTCGTCTCTGCAGTCGCCACTGCCTGTAGGAGTGGTGGAAGCAACTGTGGGGACACCATCGACGATGCGGAACGGAACTGACGCCGCAGTAGTAGCCGGGGTACTCTCCTCATCGCCCGACACGGAAATTACCACAAATTCGGCGTCAGCCTCTGCTTCTGCATCTTATTCAGGCGATAGTGAGCCGGAGGAAAAGGAGCCTCACCTTCCAGCCAATGAGGTGTCAATATATTCGGTACGTAGTTTCCCTCTATTTTCTTAAGAAACCCATTTGTTGTCCAAAATTCAGCTTATTGGTGTCATTGCAAAGACAGGGGATGGATGAGACCCATATTTTGTGACTTACATGCTGATATGGCAATGCCGTCTGCTAGGCAGTCTCATTTTCTTTTGGTTAGAGCATAACGCATTAAACAAGGAAATTAGTCTTATTATTTGCGGACTCGGTAGCAAGATCTTCCTCTTATGGCAGATGGAGGGGCGTTTACCATATCTACATTATTTACAGTGCTTTTTCCAAAGGTTACTGTACCTAACCAAATGTGATACTGAATGTGAACCTGTCCGTCGACCCGGGCTGTTTTTCGCAGTTTGCTGAAATATTACTTGATTAATGGAGCTTCATGTTTAGGGTTGACAAATGCGCAACCGCTAATGCGGATTTACAGCGTTTAACTATCTTGCTTTTTTGCATCGGTCGGGTGAGTGTATGATGAAGACCTTTGTAAAGCCTAGCTGTTTGAGTCTCTTGTTGCTGAATTTGACTCTTTCATTTGTTGGTACGTCCCACTCTTCTAGAGTGTTAACTTGCTAATGCTAGTATTCAAATTAGTGGCGCTTGATACGTTTTCATTGTTTTCTTCCTCCATACAAGCATTTGTATTAAAGATGACCACAGTATGGCGACAATAAATTGGTACTTTATTTGCTTCAGTTATTTCGTGATTTGGAATTGCTTTCGATCTACGATCTGTTAAGCTTGGCCTTTGAATTTGCATAGTCAGCTAGTAATTAAAGTGTGGTTGTTTATACCAAATGCTGAATGTACTTTGTACATGACTCGTTATTTCTGGTTATATGTTATGATGTCACCAAATAAACGCCTCCTCACTAAACCCCTTTACTTTACACCTTAATTTGCGTCAAATTCGTATTCATTTGCACTCATTCACATGCGATTTTTTGTATCTTTTATTACCTATTGTACTTTTACAAAACGGTTTTGAGTATCCATCAGAATCACCTATTAACAAAAGGATTTTTTTATTTTAACTTGGTCACCTTGTCACTTGCATCTTTTGACCTTTCAGAAAGAGGATATATTCGAACAACACCCATTCAGACCAGCGGCAGTCCTTCCTGTGGACGAGTACACCTTTACCATGCCTAGAGAGCAACAACAACAATTCCATCCACAGGTCATATTTCACAACCAGCAGTGCCAAGCGGAATCGCACAACAACTGGGGCCTCCTTTCTCACCAGCATCAACAGCAGGCTCATTCAGTGGTAGTTGTGGATGATGCGGACCAAGCTCCACCAACACCGCCACCTCGTCTTGCCTCGGCCATGAATACCATACAATTCAGTAGGGTTCCCAGAACGACGTCTGCGGCAGCGACCACAACGCTCTCTGTGGATAATGCAATCTGGCAGGTATCACTCTTGCGATGTCGCTGTTATTGGTTGGATTTGTGTTACATTAAAGGAGGTGCTGAAACAGCTTTAAAACGTAGTTTTTTGTAGTCAGGGCTTACTTATTCTTTGATGGTTTTGAGATCTTTAATTTTTGTTAGTTGCTAACGCAATTGTAACCTTTCGGAGGCGGTTTTTTTTCTATTTCAAATTGCATTAATGGCAGCTTTTTTCGGTGGCTCACCTTGTACAAACAAATAACAATAATTGATTGGGTTGTTTGTGAATAAGGGTTGGTGGGGCGTTTGCCCTAGCACAGTTATAAAATTTTGACTTACCCCAGAATGTCTTAATCCCATTTCGCCAGTTGTTTAAGGTCATTCAGCTAAATTGCAATGTCCATTGGTTTAATGGTCATTTAGACCAAATGTGGTGCGCAGTAGTGTCGCTCATTTATCCTTTTCAGCTTTTTGGCCACTTTTAACTATTGAAGTGAATTATCTACTTCTGTCCATGCAGAAACAACTTCTAGAGGCTCAACTTCAGCTTACTCGGGCTTGCTGCCCTAATGGGATCCAGTTCGTTAAAACTGAGCATTACAATAACCAGATCTACCTTATTAGACCTTTTTTTGTACGTATACAATGCAATGTTTTACCCCTTTTCCTAGATGTTCAATTAGGGCATTGGCAAAGGAGATGCGTGGAATGGTCCCATTTCTGGCGGACGTTAGGTGATGGCTTGATCTGATAGAAAGGTTGGTTGGGCTATTTTATTGCCCAACAAATGAGTCCATTGATCTCCTAATGGGATGAGCTGCACAACCCATAGGTTCTTCTGATCTCACTCTTAGATCGCTTTAGTTGCTGAATGAGCGAAGCCCCTTAATGAACTGCAATAGAGCGGATCCCGGCTATAATAGACGTTGTTTTCTTTTTATTCATTTTCATGGTTAAATATTGCTTTTTTACAATAATTTATGCCAACCTTATGCTGGTCTTGCTCAAGTTTGAAGTTTTGATTTT